TATCTGCTGCTGAGCTCCTGTAATGAATTTCATTTCTGTTATTGTATAATAGTTGCCCCTTATCTTCAGGGGATCCTTTCCAAGATCTCCAGTTGATGTCTAAAACTGTGATGGTACCAAACCTTGTATGTACTGTTTTTACTATATATAAATATATACACCTGTGGTGAAGTTTAATTTATAAATCAGGCACAGTAAAAGATTAACAACAATTAATAAAAACAGGAAAAGTATACTATCATAAAAATTATGTGAATGAAGTCTCTCTTACCCCCTCAAAATATTTTATTGAACTGTACTCACCTTTTTGTGATGATGTCAGATGGCACAAGAGATATTTTCTTGTGTCTTTTGCAGGAACAGTCTTTGAGGAGAACCTTTGACTCTTGTTTATAGCACAAGAGTATTCTTCTTAGCTATGTCTTTCTCTGGTTCTCTGTGGTAAATTTCTAGATGATCTGTTGTTTACCTTATTGTTCTCATGGAGGTACCAGCCTCTTCTTTATTTGCTTATCGCCAAAATCTTCATTGGTTTTGACAGCACCTTAGTCTTGAATCTTCCATGACCTGTTTCACATAAAGTAAAGTGCCTTGGAGAGATCTTCAGAATTCTCTGTTCCAGGCCAGGGGTGGTGGCACACAACTGTAATCCCAGGACGTGGGAGGCTGAAGGAGGATGGACATGAGTTTGAGGCCTGCCTGGCTACCTAGTGATTTCAAGTCCAGCCTGAACTACATAGTGAGACCCTGTCTCAAAAAAGAAAAAGAAGAAAAAAAAAATTGTGTTTCATGCCTCCTCCATTGGTGGGGAAAATCTCTGCACCACTGCTTTGGAGCTGGGGTTGAAAATAGTGGCCCATTTTTCTTGGAGGGACACCTCAGCTTTGTCAGTTGGGCACTGGGTGGAGATAAAAGCCTCTGGTCTTCTCAGTTTGCCTCCACTTGCACAGGTTAGCCCAAGAAGGGCCCCAATCTGCTGGCCTAGGTTAGAACTTGTGCCCAGTGAGTAGAGGCCAGACAGTTCTTACTGAGGTGTAGATTTGGTT